GACGAATTTATTATGAAATGACAGAACAAGAAATTGTAAACATAGTGTTGGGGCAATCTGAAGTTAAAGATAATGAGGGTGTTGATAAGATAAGCAAGCCAATTGTAACAAATACAGAAGCTATAAATGGTTGAAAATGTGCTTACCGTATTCTCTGGAATATAAGCATCACTCAAATATAAGCACCAGTATGAATTTGCAATGAAAAAAAAAACAAAAAAATAGAATAATAAATATAAGCACCACATATATTTCAAATTATTTTTTATTTGATTTTATTTTTATATAATAAATAAAAAATAAGAAATTTTTTTATTTTGACTATTCTTTCCCAGAGTCACCAGACTCCTCCTCTTCTAATTCATCTAATTCATTAGCTGAATCATCATTTCTATTTAAGGGTAGAGTGTAGTCATGTGATTTTATATAATGTTTGGTGAGGATAAATAATTCCCGAACCACTTTTAAATCACTTGACACGTACATAGCTACACTAAAAAATAGTTTTCATGACACGAAAATTATCACGAAATCCATTTTCAGCATGTATCCAATCATATAGTAATAAAAAAAAATTTTTGTTGTTAGAAGGTTATTTCAAAAAAAGCTTGTAAAGTTAAAGACAATTTGCGGATACCTTAGTAAAACATAACAATAGTAAATTTTCTATTTAATAAAAATAAAATTATATTTATATTACAAATAAATACATTTTTTTTAACATTATAATAAAAACAATATTTATATATATATATATTTTTAGCGTTATAATAATATTCAAAAATTTACTTCTAATGAGTTCACATGGTAAGTGGTATAATACTCTTTGTAATAATAACTCTAATTATAAACTGTTAAGGTGTCCTAATAGAACCTGGTTAATTCGGGATGATTCTTCAAATTTGGAAGTATTGGAATACCATAATAACTTACAAATTACAGAGACTCCAGAGAATAATTATTATAATTTACTTACAGTTGAAGGATGTGATATAGACATAGATCAAAAAACATATGTACCAATTCTTCCTGGATATTCAATTATTACAAATATTGGAGGATCATATATTTGTTTTACTATTAAAAAAAATGAACAGAATCTTTTGTATTTTGCTTGGTATGATTATGGCAATGATAGCACTTTAACATCAGAAGAACATTCTTACTCGGGTACACATTTTTTCAACACCTTCAATGATTATATACAAAAAAAAAGAAAGGGCAAATGGTCTACACCTAATCTTCTTGGTTTGAATATTAAAGAAAATGTTGAATTTCTTCGTAATAAGATATGCCACCACTATCCCTCTATATTTAAT